GAAAAAGAAATCGTCAGGATGTCTGACTCCATCCACCCTTTGCATGTGTGATTTCATTATTCATAGTCAGCATTCCTCTTCTGGCTTTTGATCTGTAGTTTACAGAATGTGTGCATAAGGAGGCTCTCTTTCCCATAAACTGATCTCTTTACCCTCTCCGCCCGGAATAACTTTCCATTTATTCTTTTGATAAAGCGTTGATGCCGTGAGCCAGCATACATTAAATTTATCATGATACAAACACAGCACTACACTTTTATCCAGCCCAGATCAGCAACCAGATCACTGCCAGTGCCCCTCAAGTGTCTCTGATGATGAACAGCAAAGGGGACCTGTGGAATTTCTCACGACCATCAAATCTGAAGAAGGAATTCTTGTGAGAATGGTTTGCAAAGTCTATCACCAGTATCCAAAGTCTATTATTAGCTTGCAAGGTAGCTAAAGAAATCATGTCAGCCTTGACTCACTAATAAGCACTTTTAAATATATATCGAAAAGACCTCTTAATTAAAATGCTTCAACTGCTTTCCACCTCTCTTCTGATAAATGCCAATATCATTAACATGGCTGCTTAGAACCCTGCCTGCCCCTCCAGTCTTGCCTGGTCCCAGACTCCTCTTTCCCTTCTGCTACTTCCCCTAAGTTGAATGTTATTCATTCTTCTTTCACCTGCTTATCTCCTACTCATCCTTCTCTTGTCACCTCAATTATCACTTTCCTTAGGAAGCTTTTCCTGACCCACCCCATGTGCCATCCACCTACTTGCCCCTGATCCCCAGGATATGTTAAATACCTTTATTTGCTTTCACAGAACTGCTACCAAGTCAAGATATGCTGACATGTGACCATAGCAAGCACCACCAAAACCTCAGGGTGGATGATGCTTGAGACACTCACCTTCCAAGGCCAAGTCCATGAGCCTGCCCTCTCCTGGGAGCTCATGGTGTATACATAGATGTGTATTTATAACCCAATTATTGTAACAAATTATTTATTGGATATAGACATCCATATCTTATCTGCATTTTAAGATAGAAATACTTTGGAAATAGGAAGATACTGTGTCTGTTTCACCTTTGACTCTCCCACAATGCCTGTAATCTGCACTGACAGACATGAGATGTTCCATAAAGTTCAATTAATGAATGAAATCATGAGCAAATGATATTTGAAATCATTTTTTCTTACATATTTTTGAGAAATGTAAGCATCTTTGTCTTCTCCCATCAATATTTTTAGAAAGCTTCATTTTCCAGCAGCTCTGTTTAATCACGTAATTGAAAAGCAAAGATGTCTTTCTAAATATGTACAGTTTAAGTCTGTGATACTTTTGATCCCATAAAGAGTCAGTTCCATTCAGTTCAATTCAACAAGTATTAATTAAGTGTCTATGATGTCAAATGCCTGTAGTGTGGCAATAGAATGCTTCATTTCAGTGGGATAATTTGGGATGAAAAACTTCTAAACATGTTTAGCTCCTAAGTGTGACTTCAGCAGTCACAAAGCAATTCTCCCATGTTTAGACTACAGCCATTCATTCATTTGTTCAATAAAACTTTATTGGACATCTATTAGATATGATCGTGACTGCTCTGGATTAGAGCTCTTGAAAAGTGTGATACAAAAGAAGAGGTTGTGCAGGGTCTTGCCCACTTGGAAAGAAAAGTTAAACAGATAAAGCTCCTGAGTAAGAGTAAGCACTGAGTAAGAGACCTGGGTTTGGCCGGGTGCGGTGGCTCAAGCCTGTAATCCCAGCACTTTGGGAGGCCGAGACAGGCGGATCACGAGGTCAGGAGATCGAGACCATCCTGGCTAACACAGTGAAACCCGTCTCTACTAAAAAAAAATACAAAAAACTAGCCGGGCAAGGTGGTGGGCACCTGTGGTCCCAGCTACTCAGGAGACTGAGGCAGGAGAATGGCGTAAACCCGGGAGGCGGAGCTTGCAGTGAGCTGAGATCCAGCCACTGCACTCCAGCCTGGGTGACAGAGCGAGACTCCGTCTCAAAAAAAGGAGACCTGGGTTTAATTTCCCACCTCATTCTGTCGTTACATAGTGAAGGTGAGCTTAGCAAGTCACTCCATAGCTCCAGACCTCAATTTGTTATTTGTGTAGTAAGGGCATTAGACTGGATGATATCTAAAGAATATTAGGGATTAGAAAGTCATTGTTCTGGATGGCTCACACCAGTTACTGGAGTTGCTTGGCAGGAAGGCATAACAGCATTTTGTACTTCTAGAGCTCTGTCCCTCTCATGGGGCAAATGATGGAAGAAACCAGTGGCAAAGTTAGGTTTAGCAGGAAGTCCTCTCCCAATACCAGGGGCCTGAGTCCTGGTGCCATGCTTTGTTTATGTCCATCACTTGCAAGAATGAAAAAGCATCTCTAGGCCTGGCCCACTGTATGGAATCTAATTCATGGGACTAGATATTTTATTAGCACTTCCAATGGAACAAGTGATTTGGAGTTGGACAATGTGACAGTGAATAGATGATATATTCTTTAACTAGTGAACATGAAACTGCATAGAAATAAGATTTCACAATGTTATGATATTAATGTACTTTCTAATATTTTATATGATCCATATGAAGATATATTTTTTACAGTTTAGGGTAGATGTACATAGGTAACAAAAATAACTGGAGATTCCTTTTGGAGAAATCTGCAACTGGATCAGTTAGCATGCATTCCCTTACAAGTGACTCAAAACCCAACTAGCAGTGATGGAAATCTTAAGAACATTTATTGTTTACCCAGCAAGAGGTCTGGAGAGGGTGGTTCCAGGTGTCAGGGCCCGGATTTGTGTCTCTACCATTCTCTTGCTTTTTCCCAGTCACAAGATAACTAACATAGCTGCAGATATCAAATTCTCACATGACTGATGACTGTAACTACAGAAAGGAAGCAGGGGAGATGAACAGACCTCGCCCTTTGTACCTCTCTCCTAGTATTAGAGAGAAAAACACCTTTCCAGAAGCTTCCCCGGCTGACTTCTCCTCTGTCTCAGCAGCAAAGAAAGTTTGAGAAAGCAGAAATCTGTGGTTTTCAGCCTCTGCTGTGGAAGGAAGACAAGTGAAAAGCAAGTTGGGCATGTATGTGGATAGGCTGCCAAAGTGCTTACCAGAATCCATCCCGCAGGCCACCCACCATCTGTAGATATCCTTCCTCTCCCACAGCCACTGTGGGTGGAATGCTGTGGCCCATTATCTGAGAGAGAACAACTCCACAGGATCATCCAGTTACTGTAGCCAGCACCAAATCTTGCACATCTGGGTGATTTGTAGTCTCCATGCCATCACATCTCAGTGTAGATTCCTATGGTGTAGCAGTTGATAACTAAAAGAAAACTCGCTGGGCGCCATGGCTCATGCCTGTAATCCCAGCACTTTGGGAGGCCAAGGCGGGTGGATCACGAGGTCAGGAGATCAAGACCATCCTGGCTAACACAGTGAAACTCCGTCTCTACTAAAAATACAAAAAAGTAGCTGGGCATGGTGGCAGGCACCTGTAGTCCCTGCTACTCGGGAGGCTGAGGCAGGAGAATGGCGTGAACCCGGGAGGTGGAGCTTGCAGTGAGGCGAGATTGAGCCACTGCACTCCAGGCTGGGTGATAGAGCAAGATTCCATCTCAGATAAATAAATAAATAAATAAATAAATAAATAAATAAATAAATAAAATAAAAAGAAAACTTATCTGCTTCAAATGCAATGATGCTGAAGTTTAATTTACCTTCCATTAAAATTTGCAATTGGAAAAAAGAATGATAGGAAACACAATGGCCACTGTTTTTTTGTTTTTTTTTCCCCACATATCTAGTTTTGTTGATCTGGAATAATGAGGTTGAGAAAGGATTAAACTCCTTGGTTAGCCTATCTGGCAGCCTATAATACCGATCTTTGGGAAAATATTCCTTATTCATGTCCCCTGTGACCCACCTGAGACATTAGAGAAGACACTCCACTTAGAAATTGCACAGCCTTTCCAGCTCACTTCATTTTAGATCAAGGTTTTGGGATCTTGATATTGTCTTAGGAGTTTAACAGAGCTCAATGGTCATAACCTGTTGCGGAGCAGCCTTAGGGTCTATCTGGCAATGCAATTGCTTCAAAATCTTACTGGGCTTTCTGATATCTCGCTTCAAGTCAATTCCTGCAATCAATGTGTCTGTTTGGGTTCTTTAGGAAGCAGAACACTGAGATGGAGTTAGGAGTGCAAGCGATTTATTTTTAGGGGGTGACACTTATGAAAGTTAAAAGTTAAGGAGGCTGGATTGGAATGGGAGAGCTTTCAGACTATGATGTAAATCTCACACCTGTCACAAGAGATGGGGTAGAAGTAGGATTGGGCAGGAAAATCCTCAGACTATGACACAGATCTGGCATAAGTCTTTGCCAACTCAACAGGGAACTGCAGAGCAAAGCAGCTCATTAGGAGAGCTCCACATTGGGCAGAAATAGCCAGGCCCTTGGATGCCTGCTGTACTTGTCATCGTCTAGAAGCTGCTCAGAAACAGTAAGATTTCCACTCCAAAGTGGAGTGGGATCCCAAAGGCTGTCAGCTAACCACTCTCATTGCAAGTTCTTCCTCGAAGGGAGATCTGATTAGGGCACCTCCATGGTGGCCATGGCCCAGGATCTGGTCTGGCTGCTTCATGTCTCGCCTCTTTATCGGCTTAATGGTGGTGGTTCTGAAGCAATTCAAAATAAGAGGTTGGGTGGGGAGGCTCTATTTTGATCAGACCTTTGCCAGCACACTTGCCCTCTTTGCCTGTCGAAGAATACTGGATGAGGGGAATTTGGGAACTTGGGAATGTCGTCAGTCTTATTTCTTGTTATGTCTACACTCCCCTGCTTCTGACTCCAGCATGTCTCCAAATTATGAAACTCTCAGTCAATTCAGACCTCAGACTACTAACAGAGAACATCTCAGAAAAGTTCCTTTTCTTCCCTCCCTCCTGACAGATTTTCTCTAATCTGCATTCATCTTTTTCTTGTAGGACTTTGCCAAAAGCTTCAAGAAGTAGCCAACATAATTCAACATCCAAAACATCTCCCGCCATTTCCCTTAACACTACAGCCTCAGCTGGCACGTGATTGGAATCTCAAGGCATGACAAGCAAGAGTCCAAAGCAAATGTCTTGCTGCCACCCAGCAAGTGTTGCAGACATCCAGCCTATTCTAGCTGGGCCCTCACTGCCCTCTGTCCTGCCACCTCAATTCGGCCATTCTGTGTTTTCAGATATTATCTGTGCTGCTCTATTTACTGCAACTAAATTCAAAGGAATGTGTCTGGCTACAAGTAACAGAGGATAGGACAATAAAAAGGATTTTATTTAGTCAACAAGAAGTCTGGACAAAGGTGGTTCCAGGGTACGTTTAGCACTTCCATGACATCGAGGCACCAGCTTGTTATCGCAGCCGGTCTCCGGCCTTCCCCTCATGGCCACAAGATGGCTGCCACAGCTTCCGGGGTTATCCTCACCTAACAACATCCAAAGGCAGGAAGGAGGGTCACACAAGAGTGTTATCTTTGCATGCCTCCCACCTGTGATCGGAGAAGAGAAATCCTTCCCAGAGGCCTACTGGCATAGTTCTGTTACACTGCCTTCAGTTGCAGAGGAAGCTTGTAACATGAATCTCTGGCATTTTCATTCTGTAGAGTGGGAGGAGGACAAAGGCAGAGAGGGGTTTGGAGCACAGCCAGACAGCAGTGTTTGCCATGGGATCATGCCTATTGATCTTAGTTTTCCAACCTCCAACTTGGAAATAGATAAACCATCTGTCTTCCCTTCCTGGGGAGTAGCAGGTTATGAATAAATTATGCTGCCAGAGCCCAGAGAGTCCTTAAAACAAAGTACTGTCAATCCAAGGCCCTCATTTCATTAAATCCATATTAGTTTCTATTGCTCATTTGATGGCATCTGATTGTTCTCTAGGATGGGAGGTATTGGCAGAACAGGAAAAAGGGAGAAAATTAGCCCAAATCCACCTTCCCCACCACCCTCTTCCCCCAGTGCTGAATAGTTATGAGGTCCCCAGGTACTTGTTATTTCTGGGGAGCTAGTGAGCTGAGTACACAAGTCCAGGGCTGGGGGATAGATATGTTCCAGAAAACTCTGTGCTGGAGCACTGGAGAGGGCCGTTGGAGAGAAGATATATTACTGATGGAGCAAATTAAGCCACCATGAGGAGGCCGGGACAGTATTGGGGAGCACTACGCCTTCATTAGCCCCTGAACCTACACCTTATAAAGCTGCTGATCCACCTTTCCACACACATCATTGTTTTTTTAAAAAAATTTATTTTAACACGAATGCCACTTGCCAAATAACAGTATTCTTATCTCACAATAATTTTATCTTCCTAATTTCTGTAATCTCAGGATTCTTAAAAATGTTCTGAGAAAAGTCCCTTTAGTTTCCAGAAGATGCTGCTTCTGGAAGCAGGCCTGGCTGATGGCTGGTTGTAGACTCAGAGGTCTAAACCAGTCAGAGTGCCTTGAAAAATCAAATGCAACCATGTAATCATTATTGCCATTTCTGGCGGGAGCCGTTTAAATTGGCCCAGCCTTAACTATGCCAAAGGGCTGGGGAAGCAAATGCAAACAACTCTCACACATCCCTCCCACAGTTCTTGTTTTGGTCTTTGCTCCTTGGGTCCTCACTGCTTCGCCAATATGTCTCCACTACATCTCTCTGACACAAGTTTCTGCTTGCTCCCTGGTGGTTGAGGGCACACCCAGAGACCCCCACTGACCACCCCAGGCTTCTAGAGACCCGACTTCTTGGGCCTCCCCAGGTTTCTCAAGTTCATCATTGCAAGCCAAGGAAAGAGGTGGTAATTGTGGAAACTGCCTGGACCTTAGAGGTCCAGCTCAACTTGAACTGGCTTCCTCAGGACTTTCCTGGATCTGGCTTGCAACTCTTCTAGATCAGGGTCAGTTCCTCTGCTCCCCTTTCACATTCCTAACATCTGGCTAGTGCTGGTCTGGCTCCCATAGATGGGAACGATGCACGCCCTCCATGCCAGGGCTGTCCCAATGGGCACTCTCCTTCACGGGCTAATGGGACTTCTGTTTGTGAGCACTGATCTGACTCTGGTTTCCAAGAACACGGAAACACTCTGCATTCAAAACGCAGCTCAGCCCCAAGTTCACTCATTTGAAAACTGTTAATCACAAGGTATTTGTACCCCAGATATCATCTGGGATCCTTTTGACTTTTGAGATTCAAGTGACATTGGCTTCAGAGTATAGTGAACAAAAACGTGAGTGCTAGAGTCCATCAGCCCAGATCCTACATTTGGGTACTCTTCTTACTCACCGTGATCTGGTGCAGGCCACTTAATTTCTCTGGTTTTTTTTTGTTTTTTATTTTTTCTGTTTTTGTCTGTAAAATGGGCATAATAATACCTGTATAAGTTTGGGGTGCTGATTCAATAAACTATTGCAAGTGGAGCCTTAAGAACAATGGCGAGCATACAATGTTACCATTCGCCCTGCCCCATGAGGAAGAAAGACCCTGTTGGATGAATTTACATTTCTTCTAGTAACTCTTGGCTCTGAATTTCTGCTGCAACCAAAACAGACCAGTTTCAGGAACTGTCTTGACATATCGTGCTCTCTGATTCTTTTCTGTATTGTCACCCCTTGTTCAGTGCCACCTTGATTCCTTCACTCTTTCAGACACTTTCTGACTGATAAAGTCAGGAATGCAGAGGCTTCCTGAAGTATTAGGGCAATGAGAAGGATTTCTATTGCGGCATTACACAACTTAGATTTGAATTGAAGATATTTAGTTCTTTTTTTTTTTTTGAGACGGAGTCTCGCACTGTCGCCCAGGCTGGAGTGCAATGACACTATCTCGGCTCACTGCAACCTCTGCTTTCTGGGTTCAAGTAATTCTCCTGCCTCAGCCTCCTGAGTAGCTGGGATTACAGGCTCCTGCCACCATGCCCGGCTGATTTTTTTTGTACTTTTAGTCGAGATGGGGTTTCATTATGTTGGCCAGGCTGGTCTCGAAATCCTGACATCGTGATCCACCCGTCTTAGCCTCCCAAAGTGCTGGGATTACAGGCGTGAGCCACTGCACCCGGCCAGACATTTAATTCTTAAAAGTCCTTTGACTCTGCAGTCCCCAGCCTCTAGCCCTCTTCTCATCTCTTTTCTGGTTGTTTTTTTCCTTAAATTTGCTTATTTCTCTGTCTACTTAGGATAAAATTATTAGGGCCTTAGTTTCTACACCAAAAAATTTCTAGTACAGCACTTTCTTGCTCTTTTTAAAAAATTTTTTTGTTTTTATTTATTTATTTTAATTTTAATTTTTTAAATATACTTCAAGTTCTGGGATATACATATACAGAACATGCAGGTTTGTTACATAGAGTATACACGTGCCATGGTGGTTTGCTGTACCCATCAACTGGTCATCTACATTAAATATTTCTCCTAATGCTATCCCTCTCCTAGCCCCACAAGCCCCCAACAGGTCCCAGTGTGTGATGTTCCCCTCCCTGTGTCCATGTGTTCTCATTGTTCAACTCCCACTTATAAGTGAGAACATGTGGTGTTTGGTTTTCTGTTCCTGTGTTAGTTTGTTGAAAATGATGGTTTCCAGCTTCATCCATGTCCCTGCAAAGGACATGAACTCATCCTTTTTTAAGGCTGCATAGTATTCCATGGTGTATATGTGACACATTTTCTTTATCCAGTCTATCATTGGTGGGCATTTGGGTTGGTTCCAAGTCTTTGCTATTGTGAATAGTGCTGCAATAAACACCTGTGTGGATGTGTGTTTATAGTAGAATAATTTATAATCCTTTGGGTATATATCCAGTAATGGGATTGCTGGGTCAAATGGCTGTTCTGGTTCTAGATCCTTGAGGAATTGCCACACTGTCTTCCACAATGGTTGAACTAATTTACACTCCCAACAACAGTGTAAAAGCATTCCTGTTTCTCCACATCCTCTCCAGAATCTGTTGTTTCCTGACTTTTTCATGATTTCCATTCTAACTGGCGTGAGATGGTATATCATTGTGGTTTTGACTTGCATTTCTCTAATGACCAGTGATGATAAGATTTTGTTCATATGTTTGTTGGCCACATAAATGTCTTCTTTTGAGAAGTGTCTGTTCATATCCTTTGCCCACTTTTTGATGTTTTTTTTTTTTTTTTTTTTTTTTTTCCTTGTAAATTTATTTAAGCACCTTATAGGTTCTGGATATTAGCCCTCTGTCAGATGGATAGATTGCAAAAATTTTCTCCCATTCTATAGGTTGCCTGTTCACTCTGATGATAGTTTCTTTTGCTGTGCAGAAGCTCTTTAGTTTAATTAGATCCCATTTGTCAATTTTGACTTTTGTTGCCATTGCTTTTGGTGTCTTAGTCATGAAATCTTTGCCTATGCCTGTGTCCTGAATGACATTGCCTAGGTTTTTTTCTAGAGTTTTTATGGTTTTAGGTCTTACGTTTGTCTTTAATCCATCTTGAGTTGATTTTTGTATAAGGTGTAAGGAAAGGGTCCAGTTTCTGTTTTCTGCATATGGCTAGCCAGTTTTCCCAACACCGTTGATTAAATAGGGAATCTTTTCCCCATTGTTTGTTTTTGTCAGGTTTGTCAAAGATCACATGGTTGTGGATGTGTGGCATTATTTCTGAGGCCTCCGTTCTGTTTCATTGTCTATATGTCTGTTTTGGTATCAGTGCCATGCTGTTTTGGTTACTGTAGCCTTGTAGTGTAGTTTGAAGTCAGGTAGCATGATGCCTCTAGCTTTGTTATTTTTGCTTAGAATTGTCTTGGCTATATGGTCTCTTTTTTATTCTATATGAAACTTAAAGTAGTTTTTTCTAATTCTGTGAAGAAAGTCAATGGCAGCTTGATGAGATAGTATTGAATCTATAAATTACTTTGGGCAGTATGGCCATTTTCATGATATTGCTTCTTCCTATCCATGAGGATGGAATTTTTTTCCATTTGTTTGTGTCCTCTCTTACTTCCTTGAGCAGTGGTTTGTAGCTCTCCTTGAAGAGGTCCTTCATATCCCTTGTAAGTTGCATTCCTAGGTAGTTTATTCTCTTTGTAGCAATTATGAATGGGAGTTCACTCATGATTTGGCTGTCTGTCTTAAAGATAGTTCTAGTCCTGAAAATAACTCAAGTTGCAGCTTTTTAAATAACAAAAATTCTCCTCTATATATGTTGATGATGATAACTAATTATGACAATCAAAGATTTAAATGGCACTAATAATAAAATGGCAACTACCAGTCATCATTAGCATGTGTTTTACAGCTTAGAAAGCACTTTCCAATTCTCTATTATCTCATTTGAATGAATTTCCTTTTCAG